AATTTAGCATTTTGGGTAGTGCCGGCCACGTTGATCGGGAGGGTGATTTCCTCTTTCGTTGTTTTGCTCGCCATGTTGAACCCGTTGAGGACTCGAGAGGCGGGAATGATTTGGTCGAGCAGTCCGAGCTGCTCCACCACCCTCGACCTGATGATGTTGGCCGAGCTACCTAGATCCATAAGCACACGCTTAATTTGAAATGTATTTACAAGAAAAATAATTACTAATGCGTCGTTATGGGGCTGAGATAGAGCCTCGATGTCTTTGTCGCTAAACGTGAAGGCGTCCACGAGTATGTAACATCGAGTTCTCTTTTCCTTGGTGATGGAAATTTTTGTTCTCCTGACCATGGGTTCTTGTGGAACATCGATACCTCCGAAGATCATGTGGATGACATGTTGTGGCTCGCCTGTTTCACGCTTCTTGGTCGCCTCTCTTTCCCGAAGCTGATTTTTGGCTCGGTCGCTGAGGAATTCTCGGAGGTGACCTTTGCTGAGTAGTCGGGCTACTTCTTCCCGGAGTTGTCGGCAATCCTCGGTCCTGTGACCATGTGTGTTGTGCAATTTACACACTAAGTTATGGTTCCTTCGCGAAGGATCTGTTTGTACAGGCCTTGGCCACCTTGTGTCTCTGATTTTACTGATGGCGTATACGATGTCTGAAATGTCGACGTTGAAGTTGTATCCTGATAGGCGGGGTCCTCCGTCGGCCCTGTGTGCCTATCGAATCCAGCTCTGCTAACAAGTCCCCGAGGGTTCTGACCTCGATCCAGCCTTCGATCGTTGCGGGGTATGTTGCGCCTCGGGGCGTTAACTCTATCTTCAGTGTATGGTTGCTATCTTTCTTTGTTTGGCTATGGCTCCTTTGTCGGAAGCCTGATAGGATATACCGAGCCCGAGGGGGCTCCTAGTTGGTCGTCTCTGACCCTGATCTTTGATTGGTACCAGTTGTGGATATCCGACCAGGTCACGGCGAGATATTCGACTAAGTTCTGCTTCAGCTGTTTCGAAGCTACCGAGCTTCGCTCGTTCAAACCTTGAGTGAAGGCCTGCACTGCCCAGTCGTCGGAGACTGACGGCAGTTCCATTCATTCCATTTGAAAGCGAGATACGAACTCTCGCAGCATCTCGTTCTCCCTTTGCTTGATTTTTGAAAACGTCGGACTTCCTTGTAGCTACCTTGATGGCACCAGCATGTGCCTTTATGATGGAATCTGCTAGCATGGCAAATGAGTCTATCGAGTTCGGGGCTAGGTTGTGATACCACATCATTGCCTCTTTAGAAAGTGTTTCTCCAAATTTTTTGAGTAGGACGGACTCGATCTCGTCGTCCTTCAGGTCGTTGCCTTTTACTGCACAAGTGTAAGCAGTGACGTGCTCGTTGGGGTCTGTGGTTCCATTGTACTTTGTAAGGTCGGACATTCTGATCATATTTGGAATGGGTTTTGGGGTCGTTTCCTGTGGGAACGACTTTTTTACAAACTTCTTCGAATCTACACCCTTCAGGATCGGGGGTGCGCCCGGGATTTGATCGACCCTAGAATTGTAGGTTTCCACCTTTTTGTCATTGGCTTCTATCTTCTTCTCGCCCGACTCGATCCTCTTTGTGAGGTCGAGAATCTTTATGATGGCAGGATCAGCTGCCGACCCGTTGTTGCTTGATATTTCTGGTACCTGCTCGACTTTGGGAGCCGTTTCCGGCGCTACCGTGCTGGGAGTTTTCTCGCGGCTTTGCAGCTGAACAATCGCCAGCTGTTGTGCTTGTAATATCTCGAAGATGACGTGAAGGCTAACCCCTTGTTCTTCCTGAGCCGGGGTTTTTTGAGCTTCTTGTTGACGTCCTTGGTGTATGCTCCTGTTGGTGTGGGAGGTTATTTCGACGTGTTGAGCGTCGCGCGAGACCGCGTCCACGGGAATTGGTTCTTGCGTATCCTCAGGGTGTCGTGGTGGTAAACCAACACCTGGAACAGCTACACCATTTTCTCCATGGTCCTCAAGATTGTTATTTTCGCGTGCGTTTACTGAGTTAGACATTTTGACCTGAAATAAAAAGATCTTGGACAAGAAAAAGTGTGAAAGATAACTTGAGTTATGTAGTAAACCAGCAAGAAAACAATCACTATTATCTTTAGCCCCACGGTGGGCGCCAAACTGTTTACCTTGAAAATGGTAATAACAATTAGATTTGATTTTGTGGTTCTATAAATATGTGATCTATTTTTATGCTAATTGTTAGGCAATAGATGCTAAGTGAAGTATTAGAAATTAAGATGACAACTTCTAGATGGCTTAATAATCGAACCGAAATGGCTGGGAATCGAGGCCTCGAGCTTGCGTACATGGGGCCTCGAGGTCGAATCGGGTTCCCGGTTAAGGGAAATCGATGAAGGATTAACAATTATGAGAGCTGTGATTTCGGCTCTTTATGACCAATAATGAGCAATAAATGAAGAACAATTAATAGAACACAATGAGTATAAGTAATAAATGTAAAGAACCCAAGAGAATGTGTTCAAGCTAAAGAGCATATAATGTTCTTGTATTGAATGTAGTGTATTGTATCTTGTGTATCAGATGCCTTTACAAAATGACAAGGGTCTCCTTTATATATAGGAGGGGGGGGGGGGGGTCTTAACATGGTACAAGATGCATTTATTGAAAAGACATGAAGTTGGCACAGCCATTTAATGCTACTGTGCGGGCCAGAACTAGCCTAGTAGGCTAGGCCAACTTTTAATCATGTGCCTTGGGAACTTCCCGCTAGTGCGTCGTGACCTTTGGTTTGCACTGCCTCGAGGTCGATCATTATGAACCCTTGGGGGCGAACTCCGAGCTAGACTTCGAGCCATCCGGGGGTGGTCTCCCTGAGGCGCTCTAGTGATCACAAAATCGAGCCCTCTGATTTTTACCGTATACAGTATCCTCAACGATATTAGATCCCATGATAGTTGAATTTCCACGAGACTTCTTCTCGGCTATTTTGTTGTCTTCCTCAATCTTTAGACGTATCACAAGATCTTCCGACTTCATTTCTTTGCGCTTGTGCTTAAGATAATTCTTGAAATCTCTACACGAGGGAGGCAATTTTTCAATCATTGCAGCCACTTGAAATGCTTCATTCACGACCATACCTTCAGCAATAAGGTCGTGAAAAATAAGTTGAAGCTCCTGAACTTGGGTTACCACCGTTTTGCTGTCTATCATTTTATAGTCTAGAAACTTGGCAACCACGAACTTCTTCAAGCATGCATCTTCCGTCTTGTACTTCTTTTGAAGTGCGTCCCATAATTTTTTCAAAGTATTCATCGCACTGTACACATTGTACAAGTCATCCTCTATAGCGCTTAAGATATAGCCTTTGCAAAGAAAATCTGCTTGCTTCCACGCCTCAACAATCATGAACTTCTCATTGTCCGGCATGTCCGCAGCAGACACTGGAGGCTCATCACTATTGAATTTCTGCATACCAAGTGTGGTAAGCCAGAAGAACACCCTTTGTTGCCATTCTTTGAATGGCTCCAGAAAATTTCCTCGGTTTCTCGGCCGGAGGAACAGCAGTGCGTCTTGACGAGGCTATCATCGTTGCAGCAACAGTCACAGAAGGATTTCCGTTATCAATTGCCATTTCTCACTGTCAACAATAGAAGCGTTCAATTAATTGCAAAACCAGAATAGTAAACAATACTATAATCAGTAAACAGTACGTAAAAACTGAAGTTTTTATATACTGTTACACAGAAAATGATGAAGCTTTTATGTTCTTCAAATCATTTTCTGAATTTCAATATTCTGATGAAGTTTTTATATCTTCAAATCAGAATAGTAAAATTCAGACGGAGTAGAAAATGATAAATGTTTTAATCTCCACAAACAGAATACAGAATATAATAAAATAATTTCCTTAAGATTGGTATCAAAACTGTATTGCTGTAAAATTAATAAAATATAAACTTTCTGAATAAAAACAGAAACAGAAAGTTAGTAGAACTATAACGTCAAAATATGTTCTGGAAACAGTATAGTAACTTCAAAATAAATTCTGAAAATAGTATAGGAATAAATCGAGCCCACTGAATACACAGTGTGTCCTTAAGGAAATTATTCCCCTCAAGTACCCAAGGTTCTGGAATATATCCTCCCAGGATAGAACGATTTAACTCACAGGAGTGTTGGTACCAAAAACGCCGATGAACAGCGAACCACTCGAAGGCTGTAAAACACATTGGAATTTTATGTGCAGAAGAAGAAGAAGAAGAAGAAGATCAGAATATTTCATAAGTAAATATTCTGGGATTTGAAGGAATATTTATAGCCAATTTGGTACTGTTTATGAAAAGGTTTGCAACCTTTCAGAACAACCATAGCTGTTGGAACAGGTTTGACACTGTTTCAGAATAACCATAGCTGTTGGAAATATTACGAGAAAAAATAAACGGATTTAAAATAATCCGGGAAAGAAAACGGACCGGACCGGGCCGGGCCGCAGGTCATGGGTAATTCCGGATTGAATTTTCATTAATTAATTAATTATTTGAAAATAATTTTGTCCAAAAAGATTAATCAATCATTGACCAAATCCAAATACGAAGCCGAGCCGAGCGACGACGGCGCGAGGCTTGCCTTCTTCTTAACTCTTTAAGAACTAAAAGATGAGCTTCTCTATATATACACAAAGATTTTCTTTCCTTCTACCAATGAAGGACAAAGTGCATTAGTAAAGTGAACTCACTAAAATTTTCACTTCCCTCAAATTCTTTTTCCACCATTTTTCATTCACACCTCTTTTGTTATTAATAACAAAATCCAACATGAGCAAACTTCGCGCGCCAATTAACAAACTAGGTCGATTGACAACAGCACGTAGGTTTAGTTCGACTTGAGCTATATATATGCATACTTAGCCCATACATACTCACCAACTCTTAATGCTAAATTTTCCTATACTGACAAAGCAAAGGAAATGATATACTATTTGTCATTGAACAATCTCAAACATAAATATTAGGATAATCAGAGATTTTCATATAGGATGGGTACATGCATGTATACAACAAAAATTTTTTTTTAGTCCTATCAACAATCATGTAAATTAAATGTAGTAACAATGTGACACATGAGTCATGAGTAAGAATACCTTGAGCTATGCTATTCTACTACCACACGTGCAAAAGAAGACTAGGGTGTCCTTCAATAAACATTCTTTTTTCCACGGCAATTTGGTGGCCCAGTTTATTTGTCCACCATTTCTTGTTCCTCCTCTCTATCCCCTGGCCTTTCTTCTTGCTGCGAGCATTCTGAAAATTAATTTCCAAAATCTGAAATATATATTCAAATTGGAATTTGGATATATAGAAGGAATAAAGTACACACAGATGTTGTAACAACAGTTATTTCTAATGTTCTGCTCTTGTTTTAAGGTCAAAGAAGCAAGAAAATGGCCATGGCAAGGATGATACAACTGATAAAAGGATGGTTTTGAAATTGAACGGAGTTGGAGATGGCTGTATTAGGTGGAGGAGGGTTGTAATAATAGAAAGGGAAGTACGGTACAATGGGGTTTGGAGGTGGAGGAGTTGGATATATAGATGGGTTGGTCGGAGGATAGAAGTAGTTACCATCACCGCCACCGCCTCCTCCGCCGTTATACGGCGGCGATAGAGGCTGAGAGCAGTCTCCCGGGCAAGAACTGGATGGTGAAGGAGGCGGTGGACTATTATAGACTGATGAGGGTGGGGGCAGAGGTGGTGGCAGCGGCAGTGACGGTGGAGGCGGGCATGGAAGCGGAGGTGATGGTGGTGGTGGAGAGAAGATTGGCTGACATGGATTGTCACAGGAGGAGCACATTGTGCAGGCTATTTGGTCTTTGGCCATTGCTGTAATTGTTGACATAGCATAAGTTAATTGGACTTTGAACGAAAGCAGAAGTAAACTGAGGCTGTAGAGATATAGTAGTAACTGAGAATGCAGGGAAGCCCCCATGTTGAGAAGACTCTGAATTGCAGAATTTGCAACAATCCAGAGAAAATATGAAGCAAGGCAAAAAGAGGAGTTTTGAATGTACAAAAACAAGAAGTAAATGCAAAGCTGTGTATTGCACTATAGAAAAGGAGTGTTGGGTGGAAAAGTGAGAAGAGAGACTGGAAAGAGATACACCAGCAGTGAAGGGCTAAAAGAGGGTGAGGATAATGAAGACAATGGATGTGGAGTTTGATGGAGGAGTGCATGTGTATTGATGACCGTACCATTCCTAGAGTTTTATCTTCTAAGCTAAGCCACCACTCTCTCTGTGACAGAGAATAGTACCCATACAATTTAATTAAGAGTTTAACTTTCGTATTCTGATAGGTATACAAGAATCTCGACACTATTAGATAATGTAAAATATAATTGTAGATAATTAGTTTTACTAACCATGAATAGATACTAAAAATAAAGCAAACAATCCACTGGTAAATTAGAGTAATAATGTGAAAAAATATTTACACGATCAATATATATAAGCTAAATCCATTTAAAACTTGTAAAGATAAGAAGTTTTCTCTGGGAGGCTTGCACCGGTACTTGCAAGTTGCAATCTTATACCAGCAAGCCCAGTAGTCACTTCAGCAAATCACCAACTCTGTGAAATCACAATCTAAATCACAGAGGCCAATTTTGGATATGTAACTGTTAGTTCAGCTTTCTTTACTAATACGCTAACCATGTATGAAGCTTCTTTATCTTATGCTACACTTAAAGTGTTAGTTAAATTTCAAAGTTTCAATGATGACAATGATCACTTACCTTGTTTTGTAGGAATCATCAAATGGAAAGAAAACTAATGAGAAGTTGTCCAAAGATGTGATTGTTGAATTAATGGACAAGAAGAAGGACTAAAAAATTAGCACATCCATTCGGTCTCAATCAAAGGAAATCAGATTACAAATCAAGGAGCTATTACCAGCAAATATTCAGTATCCTTAATTAAGCTCAATCAAAGGCTTGCTTGTCTCGTAAATGAAAGCCTGTGACAAGGAAAGTCTCGATCGAATCCGGCCCTTCCCAAGAGCAGGATTCGAAGAGGCACCCCTTGCGTCAAATCCTTTTAAAGATCTCGTGCCTCTATTTTCGGTCAAGGTCTCAACGGCTCTTTTCTCTCCTATAAGAAGTCTGCTAAAGATTATATTGAGGACTTGCGCAACTACACACATTGTTTTCTAAGTCTCTCTACTTCTTAACCTAAACACTGTAATCCTTTGTTTACTAGTGTCTCAAAAGATAGGAAGAATTAGAACACAAAAGAGAGTTGTGTCATTATTCATGATTCATTGATGTTATACTTCGTTGGTGGTGAAGGAATCAAAACCATATGTAATGTAATACTTTAAAAATCTAAAGGGAACCCTTGTGACCCAAGGAAAACTAGATGTAAGTACCACACCATTACCGAACCAGTATAAAAACACAATGTGTCATTCTCTTTCCATTTACTGTTATTTTACATTTTGCTCTTAATCTACTCAACTAAAATCATAGTTAGTCGACTATTTTTTTAATAGACCACAATCACCCCCCATTGTACTTTCTATTGGTACCAGAGCAAGACTCACAAACTTTGCTTAACAGCTAGTGAGGAAAATATAATGGGATCAAACACAGTTGTTGGTGCATTATTTTCAAGAGGGAACCTCTCAAGTTCGACCACCATACTTCAACGGATAACACTTCTCTCATTGGAAAGTGCATATGGAAATATACACCATGTCATATGACATTAAAGTCTGACGGGTGATCAAAAAGGGAAATCTTCCAGTTCCCCGAAAGAGAGATGAGAATGGTCAAGTAATAGTATCCACTGATCCACTTAATTTGAATAACTACACTGATGAGCAAGCTAGCTGCTGTCATAACTGTGAATGCTAAAGCAAAAATCTGCTGTACAATGCTATCAGTGGTGAAGAGTATGAAAGGATCTCAAGCTGTGAAACTGCTAAGGAAATATGGGACAAATTGGAAGCCACATATAAAGGAACCAACAAGGTAAAAGAAACGAGGATAAATCTTTTGGTTCGTGAGTATGAGCTATTTCAAATGAAAGACGGAGAATCTGCTGAAGAAATATTCTCCTTCAGCAAAACTCTTGGAGATCTTAAATCTTTTGGTAGAACAATAAAAAGCGAAGAACAAGTCAGAAAATTTCTTAGAAGTCTACCTACAATTTGGCAACCAAAGGTCATTGCTCTCGAATGTCAGGATCTTGACAAAATATCCTACGATGAACTCAGTGGTGACTTAATAGCTTTTGAGAAAACTCACTTGGATAGACAGATTCAACAAGAAAAGAAAAAACAATTGCCTTCAAAGCAACTGTGGTTGAACCAGAAGATGAAGGAGGAGAATAGGATGAAAATATAGCCATGCTTTCTCAAGTTGTAACTAGCATGATGAAGAAAAATAGAAATAGCAGAAGAGGTAAACCAAACTTCAGAAAGGGTAGAACAAACAATGAAAATGATGGAAGATGCTACGAATGTGGAAAACGCGGACACATTTAAGCTGATTGTCCCAAACTAAAGAAGAAGCTAAGCAGGAACCTTCAAAGAAAGAGGTCTTTTGGAGCCTGGAGTGATGAAGAAGAGTCTGATCATGAAGAAATTGCAATTATGTGTTTAATGGCCATATAAGATGATAACAATGAGGAATCAAGAGAGTGTGGATTCTTAGGAAACAGAAGAGCAAATGAAGAAGAAGACTCAGGTCAACTTGGCCTCACAGCAGACGAGGGAGCTAGTGAGGTACGTCCCCCCACTTGCACTAATTGTTATGAACTTCAAGAATTTGTTGATATTGCTCTTATAGATATTGAAAGAGTTCTAAATGAACTCAGAAAGATCCAAAGAGAAAAGAAAGATTGGGCATTGAAGCTAGAAGTTTGTGAAATTGGGATGATATGCTACAGGAAGAAGTTAATGAACTTCAACTTCAAGAATGGATTGCAAAAATCCACTAGTCATAGTTCAGTCAAATCAAATCAGACTGTTCATCACAAACAGAAGAATCTCATGCTTGTTCCTTTTGTGGTAAAAATGGCCATAGTACTTATCAATGCAGGAACAGAATCAAAGTAGAAAAAGACTCTGAAAATTCTAATAGTCCATCTTGTTTTTATTGTGGTAAAAGGGGTCACACCTCAAATCGTTGCAGGTTCAAGGATAACAGGAGATGGCTCTGGCGACCCAAATCTTCAAATTAAACTAACACTCAGCATTCTAACCATTCAGGACCCAATCAAGCTTGGGTACCTAAAAACAAGTAATTTTGTTTTGCAAGAACACCGCAAGAAGAATCGAAAAGAAAAATGGTATCTCGACAGCGCGTGTCCCGGACATATGACTGATGACAAACAATTGTTCAAGATAGTCACTAAACTAGATGGAGGAACGATTACCTTTGGAGGAAAATCCATAGGAAATGTAATTGGTGTTCGAAAAGTTCCTCTGAGCTCAACACGTGATGTAGATGAATTTTACCTAGTTGATGAACTCAGCTACAATCTTCTAAGCATCAGCCAACTATGTGACAATAACTACGAGGTTCGTTTTAAGAAGCATGGTTGGTTTATAGAAGATGAATCAGGTAAAGTCATTCTTTCAGGTAATAGCGATAGAAATGTCTATACTATTAGCAACTTAGATAATCTTGGGGATCAAATTTGTCTTGCTTCCATAATTGATGATCCCTGGGTTTGGCATAGAAAACTTGGTCATGCCAGCATGCATACTATTCAAAAGCTTTCTAAACATGATCTCGTTATTGGACTTCCAAAACTAGATTTTATAAAGGATCATATTTGTGACGCATGTCAACTAGGAAAACAAACTCGCTCATCTTTCAAAATCAAGAACATTGTTTACACCTCCAAACCTCTCCAAATATTGCATACAGATTTATTTGGTCCAACTAGAACTGCTAGCATAGGTGGTAGGAAATATGCTTTTGTCATTGTAGATGATTTCTCTATATTTACCTGGGTTATATTTCTAAATCATAAAGATGATGCTCTAAAGAATTTTGAAGTTTTCTGTAAGAAGGTTCAACGAGAAAAGGGATACTACATCTCTTCTATCAGAAGTGATTATGGAGGAGAATTTGAAAGTAGAGCCTTTGAAAACTTTTGCAACGATCAAAGAATCTCTCACAACTTCTCTTCACCAAGATCTCCGCAACAGAATGGAGTGGTAGAGCGTAAAAATAGGACTTTACAGGACATGGCAAGAACCATGATTGTGGAAAACTCTCTACCTCACCATTTCTGGGCAGAAGCGGTAAGCACAGCATGCCATATCATCAATAGGTGCTTGATTCGACCAATCCTCAAAAAGACCCCGTATGAACTGTGGAATGGTAAGAAATCCAATATTAGCTACTTTCACCAGTTTAGATACAAATGCTTTATTCACAACAATGGAAAGGATAATTCGGGTAAGTTCGATCCTAAAAGTGATGAAGGTATATTTCTTAGTTACTCTCCTTCAAGTAGAGCATATAGAGTTTATAATAAGAGAACGCTATGAATTGAAGAATCAATTCATGTTGTTTTTGTTGATACTAACCCTCGCCCAAGGAATGAAGAAACACCTGAAGATAAGGAAATTCTTTTTGTCCCTAAATCTATCATTGTAGGAAAGGATGATCAAAGTGAGTCAGCTTATCAACAAACTCAACCAGCTGAAGAGTTTGTAGAAATTCACGAACCATCTCAAGCAGATCAGTCGACTAATATAGAAAGAGAACCTTCCTCAAACACTCCAAATGAATGGAAAAGCGAACCTGGATACCCTCACAAATTCATTATAGGAGATCCACAAGAAGGAATCACTACAAGAAGATCTCAGAAGAACAAATCTCATGTGGCTCTTATTTCTCAACTTGAGCCAAAGAAAGTGGATAATGCTCTGAAAGATACTCACCGGATAAGTGCTATGAAAGAGGAACTAGATTAATTTGAAATAAATAAAGTGTGGGAATTGGTTCCAAGACCTTCAAACTCCTTCATCATAGGAACTAAATGGGTATTCAGAAACAAATTGAATGAATCTGGTCAAGTGGTTCGAAATAAAGCAAGACTGGTTGCTCAAGGATACTCTCAGCAAGAAGGAATCGGCTATGATGAAACCTTTGCTCCTGCAGCAATACTCGAATCCATACGAATATTACTTGCTTTCGCTGCTCACAGAGGATTCAAGCTATTTCATAGATGTTAAAAGTGCGTTCCTAAATGGCTATATCTCCGAAGAAGTATATGTGAAGCAACCACCAGGATTTGCAAACGTCACCTTTCTTGATCATGTATACAAGATGAGTAAAGCTTTGTATGGTCTCAAACAAGCTCCACATGCCTGGTATAAAAGGTTAAGTTCTTTTCTTCTAAATCATTGGTTCAAAAAAGGTAATATCGA